TTTTAGCTGATTTTTGACAACATTTTTCACGCTCTATCTATTCTCTTGAAGAGTGAAGTGTGAGAGATCAATTCCCGCCAATGGGAATGACTTTTCTTGGAAATCCAGAAAAGTGGCAAAGTTTCGAGTTAGAATTGTAGCATTTTTGTGTGAAATTGTTTTCTGGTTGCTCTCTTTTGTTAGAAGGTCTAGTAGAGGCTACATCTTCATTTCGTGATAATACTATCATTTTTTATGAAGTGTAAAGTAAGTCATAGCTTGCTATGTTAGGAAAAGTGTGATAAATATTCATTTACCCGAAATAAGGAGTTTTTTGATGGTTCAACATTGGGAAGGACGGTGTGAGGGTTTGCGAATCCACCGTCGCTAGCGATTTGGAGAATTCGGACGATGTTTCAGCGAATCGAACTATGCACCAGCGTTTCGAGCGACGTGCCATTGGTTCGAACGATGTACCATTGACCCGATGAAGAGTGGAAAAGCTGGGAGTCTCTCTCATGTACACGTTCACTCTCACTTCCCCGGGCTCTCATGCCCTCGTGAGCTCTGGAAAGTGGCGAGAGTCAATGTGTACATGAGAGAGGCTCCTGCCACTTTTAAATTGTCAAGTAGATGGTACATCGTTCGACTCGCTGGTACATCGTTCGACTCGCTGGCGCAAAGTTCGATTCGCTGGTGCAACGTTCGATTCGCTGGCGCAACGCTCGGATCCCGCGATTCGCTAGCCGAATCGCTGGATTCGCGAAGTCTGACACCCACCGTAACATTCTATAGTATTGCTGATGATACCATGTCGAAATACCGAGTTTGACATGAGGTATGGCAGTAGACGCCTGAGATGATTTCTTTTTTGTCTATACTGAGTCACTTTATGTAGAAGAAACAGCGAATGCCTTCTCATTTATAACTCACAAGTATGACCCACGCCAAAGGATTAGCTTCACGACTACGAGTTCATATTTCGTTCTCTATTAGTCACATATATACTTTTTCCTTTGCAGTGCAATGCGATTTCCAAGCTCGCGATCAGTATGTGCTTCCATTTCGAGCTCTTCGATTTCTTCACCTCATTTACTGTTACTGTTTTTCACAGAGTATTATTGTTGTAATTATGGATTGTAATCAATACCTATGTTAATGCCTATCGATATTATTTGTATAAAATGTTAGTAGTCTTTGTTTCAAGACCTATTCCACGCTAAGCCATGGTCGGCGTCAGTTGAATTTCTGTACCCTTCTCTTGCTTCTTTTCAAAGTAGCAGAGCGGCAGAATAAATATCGTTTAAAAGTCCCAATGGTGAAAGTGACTCCACCAAACTCGTGTGAAATGCTCTCGAGTCCTATATGTGTTTCACAGCTGAATAATGTATTGTTTCCTTTTCTCAATCGAATCTATATTTGAGCGAACATTTTGCCTTTTCTGTTTTGATAAGTCTCTAGTCATTTCATCTCCACCTGATGAACAAGGGGAAGAGCATATACTGAATGGATGCACATGTATGAGTTCTCATATCTTGTCTTTACGACTCTAAATTACTGCAAAAAAAAAAAAAAAAAAAAAAAAAAAAAAAAAAAAAAAAAAAAAAAAAAAAAAAAAAAAAAAAAAAAAAAAAAAAAAAAAAAAAAAAAACCCCACATATATTTTTTAACTCAACTCTTTTTGTGATTCTTCTCATTTTACATGTGCAATGTATAAAGTCTTTATATTTTCTCAACTCTAGTCTACCTCACACACAGTCGCGAACGTCACTTGAGGTTTCGGCGACACTGGAACAGGAAAATTGAAATTTTTTAGTTTCAGCTCTAGACGCAATGTAGCCGGGGGGGGGCACCTGTACGTTCCGTCAAGATTTCACGAAAACTTGCAGATGTGGGACTGAGTGTGGAGAAAAAGGCAGGCTGGTAAGCATTTTTCAATCACTCCGGAATTGTCCCTCCATTTTAGGCTTGGTCCTAGTGACCTTCCGAAAGATGGCCCGAAGACACATTGCGCCCAGCTCTGCCCACAGTGTTGGCAATCCTACCAGTTGACCCTCCATTTCGGAAAAAACAAGAAAGGGCGTCGGAGTGGATTACACACCACAAGTGACGGCGGCCAAATAAGTGGCTCCTTGGACTTGCTGTGGAACAGACCATAGAACCGTTGCTGCCTCGGCTATTTTTAGCTGTTCGCCTGTCTTTCAGAACCACTTGACCCCAAATGGGCTTCCTTGTAGAGCCGTAGGTCTGCCATAGTGAAAATAACACGTTATTGCATATCGCATAACTATTCTTTTCGCTAGTCGCGTATGTAGACAGGTCCTAACAGATCTACACCCCCCCCCTCCCCATCAGACGGTGAGATATGGACTAAAACCTCTTCTGCGCTAGCCTTTATCCCCTTTTTTCAAAGTCAGCACAGTTTTTGGAACATATTGGGAACTTCAGGTTTGACCTCCGCCGCTCCTCCTGCGCCACTCTGCCCATCGTGAGCGTTTGACTTATCCTAATCTTAGACTCTATCACTTTTTCCGTCTTCCGTGCAAGTTTCAAACCATGGTGCAAACTTCGGGTTTTACTTCCGCCCACCTTGCTCCTCCCTATTCGTAAGAGCTCGTCTCATGGCTAGGCATATTCAGCACATCCCCAAGTTTTCCCTCCCTACGGAATTACTCCTGATCTCCAGATTGCCTTAGGGCTGAATTATGAAGTTTTGTGGTGATCACCTCCCACTGAGACAACGGCCTGCCCTACCAGGCTGGATCTTATTCATTACATCCTTCAACCTTCCTGCCCCAGCTTATCCAAATTTTTGCAAACTCAGGCCTGTTTTGATACTGCAATAGGGTATCGCCATCGCCGCACACCCAATCATGGTGGTCGAGGCTCCATTCAGCGTTATGTTGGACTCGCTCAATCCTGCCCTACCGTTCCACAAGCCTTGCGCCCACCTCCAGGATATCTTTAGTAGTCAGGAATTTTTTCTGAACGGACCCCACACACACAACTAAACATTTTACCAGGTAAGCGGAGATAGATAAACCACGCATACATGAGACAGATAGCATTAGCACATCAATATGGTGGGCAAAATTATTTGATAACAAGACATACATCCACTAAAAAAACGAATATTAGCCTAATGAAAACTCGATTTTTCGAAAAATTGTTGGTCCCCGATATCGCAATTACGAAGCAAGTGCGTTTGTAAAATCTGTTAACTACTTGCGTGACACAGGCCTTTGGATGAAGAGGGAAGCCGGTACGGTGACACACGTCAGATTGGATCCAAGCTCTTTGTTATGCCCTTCTTAGGGAATCAGATATTTTCGGGGTTTGGTCTGCTCCTGCCTCCACTTTTATCATGCAGAGAATCCGGCTGAATTCAGGGAGATATTATTAGATAAGAGTCGTTAAATACCGTGAGAACGAAAAATAGCTCTCTGCATGGATTCTTGCTTTATTTCCTGGTCCTGGTCCTGCTGAAATGTCTGAAGTGATGTACTCTAGAGGGTACTTATCCATGACAAACATTAGATCGTGAGAGTGTCCAAAAATCATCTTTTACACCAGTTTTTTTCCAAATTTTCCGGTACGGAAGCCGCAAGGTGGGGGGTTTCTGCAGTTGATATTTGTTCTGATGCTGGCTGTAATCTTTGAATCTTCTTGCTTTTATATCATCAGGTGGTTTCCTATTCATAGTGGAGTTGGAATTTAACATTATATACCAGTTTTGCTCCGCCCGCTATCGCGCGCATCACACGGCAGGCTTTAGCGAAACTGGAGACCCATGGAATATCAGCATGAGGTACTCCATTAACCACCTCACTATTGAATGTGTTAGACCTTTCCCAGTTTCGCTGAAGTCCATCGAGAATACGCGTGATAACGTCTGGAGCTGAACTGGCATATTTATCTCACAACTGTAAACATCCACCATTCTTCTTGAATTCAGATAATTTAGCGGTGAATAGGATTGCTGTCAGTCTCGAAATGAAAATGAAATATGCCTATGTGAGGAGCTAAGGCTTATCATTTATTTACATTCACCATTATTTAGAACCCCGAAAGGATTAGCGGTTTAATGAGTTTGGGCTTTCTTGATAGGAACGAAAGTTATCATTTGCTGAAGACTTGATTGAATTCATGCAATAGACTGCTATTAAGTAGGCTGGTCATACAATGATACAGTGTGCACGTACCACTACAAATAGAATTTGTAAGTAGGGACGCTCTAGTGTCAGCGCAAGCTGCGTAACGGAATCGACGACTTTTGCGTTCTGACGCCCCTTATCAGTTGTAACCACTTTCCATCACCTACCAACAATGTCCCCGTCCCACCCCACATGACACCTGCGAGTATGGACGCTCTAGTGTCAACGCAAGCTGCGTAACGGAATCGACGACTTTTGCGTTCTGACGCCCCTTATCAGCCCTTATCAGTTGTAACACTTTCCATCACCTACCAACAATGTCCCCGTCCCACCCCACATGACACCTGCGAGTATGGACGCTCTAGTGTCAAACGCGAGCTGGTAACGGAATCGACGACTTTTGCGTTCTGACGCCCCTTATCAGCCCTTATCAGTTGTAACCAC